ATTGCCGTCGAGTCACAGGCGACTCATAGCGACCCTATGAAGGAGAGTCCTCAACGCTTGGGTGCCTTTCATCCTTATATATATATATAGTTCTAGAGGGACACTGATGTTTTGCATGAAGAAGGGATTTGGGGAAAAACATGCTGCCAGAACCGACTCCTGGCTGTCCCTCCGGCAGGTTTTCAGAAGGTTTACATTGCACAGGAGGAGACCTGTCTCTGCTTTGGAGCCACTAGCAGTTTTGAGGCATCACCTTTGATCAACACACTGTCCAGTGGATAATGTCTGGTAGACGGTTGTTTCCTCGTCTGTACCACTAGATGGCATTGGTGACCAAAATCACAAGGGTGGGGAGATGCTGATGTTTTTGTGCCACAGAAGAGCTAAGAAGCTGGTTACTGTAGGCTTCCTGTGCTGGAGAAAGTCATTCTACCTGCACATTTCCCCCCCCTTTCTTTCTGAAAGCACAAATAATTTATTCATACAGGAGATAGTAAGGGCAGGCTCTAAATTCTAGTAACTTAATAATTTAGAAAATAATCTATGGAGTCAGAAAATCCCATAAATTGTACATCTGTGAAATGGGGTATTATGGTAAAGAGGGGGGGGGGAAACCAAGCCAAAAACTGATCAGAATACATATTTTTAGTTTTTTAATTAAGGAAAAACTTGTTTCCTAAAAATGACTATTATGCAGTTAGTAACTTTAAAACTCTGGTTAAAATCACCTGCAAACTTGGAGTTATCATCTCACCTGTACGTCTTGAGAATACTTTGATCTCAAATCAGAATAAGTTCCTCTTCTTCTGTCTTCTTTCTAAGCCAGTTAGTATTCCCTTCCTCCTCCAGTGTTTTTCATTCAGTCTGAGAAATTATACTTCAACCAAAGTCACTAAGTATAAATGATAGAGCCCAAGGTTACACAGATAGTGGCAGATATTTTTAGAAAAATGACTCAAATTGTCTTGCTGTACTTCCCTAAAACTGGCTTACAATATGAACTACAGAAACTTGACATACACAGTAAACAGTGTCACATTACCAAAGGGTGCACTAAGCCCAATAATAATAAGCCCAGGTGTCACTGTGAATGGCCCAGTAAAGAAACTGGAGAACTCAACCTTCTGTGCATACCAGCAATTTAATTTGGTCAGAAAAGACTGGTCCTGTGCAGAAACATAGAGATACTTAGTTGTTGGAGATGTTCTTATGTATGGTCAAATCAGACTGTCTCACAGCTGACCCTCCAATGGGTTTTTCGATGCAATGCCCATCTTTCTCCACAGAGTGGCTGTTGGCAGCACAGCTCCAAAGCTATTCATTTGTTCTCCTCAAAACCAGCTCAGATGATTTGTTATCCATGAGGAAAACAAAAAAAATGTTAATATCTTATTGCACTTTTTTTGGCGTTCAAAGAACTATTAAAACTATATTTTAAAAAGCAACAACAAAAACAACAACCCAGGACTATCAGAATAGGCCTATCGCATGAAATCCTGTTGACGTACATACTCTCCACTTTTTTAAATTTGAGGATGTTCCCATTTTTGCCATAATTTGTTTCAAAAAGTAATCTGATCATGGATCTGAAATGTATGGCACTTACTCCGCTCCAACATCTCCACACTTTGCCTGTGACTTCCTTTCTCATCGTTTTCCTCTGACCCTTCTTAACTAACTCCCTTAGAGCTTATTCTCAAGTAGCTTTCTCCATTGAGGAATCATGACAGAGTAGATAGATGCTAGTTTCTCTTGTCTGATGAAGCAAAAAGAGATCAGCTCAGTCTATTGGGACTCATTTGTAGACCTCAGTGCCTCTCTGACAGTGTTTTACAGGGTAATAACTGAAGCATCCCTAGCTTCTGAATCTAAAACACAGTAGTGGCCCTGGTTGTTGTGAAGCATATACCCGCGCTCTCTTCTCCACCCCTCACCTAACTCAAGTGCTTTGTGATTGTAGAAAAATAACTGTATGTTGCCCGAGGATGTGAAGAATTTTTACCTGATGACCAATGGCTTCCACATGACCTGGAGTGTGAAGCTGGATGGTGAGTCCGCCCTTGTTGGAGGGAAATGTTTGCTTGGCTGAAAAGTTGAATTCAGCAGCTCTGAAGACCTTTTCAACTTGTGAGTTTTTAAATCTGGATAATGTCCATAGGTGCTGCTTAAGTACAATGTTTAAATTATGATCATCTTTGAGAGCTAGCAGATACCATCATTGCTTGGCTCACCACCTACCATCACCTCATGCCAGGATCTAACGAGTACTTTATTAGAAGTACAAGTTAGAGGCTTCCTGTAGGGTTAGAGTAGAGGAGAGCACTGTTAATTAACATTAATTAAATGAATGAAAAGACTCCACCTCAGAGCAGACACTTCAGGTTGAATTGTAGTGATAGTCTCACAAGTACTCATGGGAGTAGCTGGTCATCTCAAAAACGTGGTCACAGCCAGTAAGTGTGGCTTCTCTTTGTAGCAGCCAGGATTCATTTTTTCCCTACAACTTTGCTACTCCAGTCTCTTTGGCCTCTATCAGACCTCTGCCGTTCTACCACGGTGTTGTTGTAGTTAGGTGCTGTTGAGTTGAGTATGACTCATAGCAACCCTATGACTCATAGCAACCCTATGAACAAAAGATCTGAACCCTGGTCTATCCTGCGCCATCCTCACACTTCCTGACACACAAGAGCCCACTGCAGCAGTCACTGTGTCAATCCAACTAGTTGAGGGTCTTCCTCTCCTTTGCCAACCCTCCACCCTTCCCAGCATCATGTCCTTCTCTAAGGAATAGCCTTTCCTAGCAATATGTCCAAAGTATGTGAGGTGAAGTCTCATCATTCTTGCCTCCAAAGAGCACTCTGGCTGCAGCCTCTGCAAGATATGTGTTTGTTCTCTTTGCCGTCATGAGATATTCAGTGCTCTTTTCCAACACCACAACTCAAAGGTGTCAATTCTTTTCCTGACATCCTTATTCATTGTCAAGCTCTCACGTAGCAAGTAATTGGAAAGACTATGACCTGAATCAGATGCATCTTAGTCCTAAAACTGACTTCACTACTTCTCAGTAATTTAGAAAGGTACCTAACTGCAAATTTTCCCAGTGTAATGCATCTCCTTATTTCCTGACTGCTGGTACCAAGTGTGTTAATTGTGGAGCCAAGCAAGATGAAGCTATTGACAGTTCATTCTGCCATAGGAGATAGTAAAGGGTCACTGCATCTAGGGGTGAAGAGCTATCTAGGTTCAATCTCTAACTCTATAGTTTATGACTAGGTCAACTGCTTATGACAAAGGTGGCTAGTAGAACAGATCTACCTCTTGGTGTTGGTAGGAAGCAGTAATCACTTATTAGTGCCTGGTCCACAGCAAATACTGAGTAAAAGACCCTCATAATTAGCATGATCACATTGTATGAGGCTTTTTACTTTTCAGGAGAATGGTTCGCTCAAGACAGACAGCAGAGGAAATGAGGGTTTTTTTTGGCAGACTAGTTGACTGGTGAGGTGGTCCAACCAAGTATGCTTTGCCGCTTCTTCTCATTCACTAAAACTTAATGTTGTTGTTGTTGTTGTTGTTTTTGATTGCCTTTGAGTCGAGCATGATTTATAGCAACCCTATGAATGAACAAAAGGTCTGAAGCCCTTCTACAACTATGGACTTTTATGCAAGTTCTTAGAGTTTCTTAAGGCAAGTTGTTTAAGAAGAGGATGCCACTCCTGCTTCCAAACCTGTTATAGAATGTTATTGATTGAGTCACCTGCAATGCATAGTGATCCTGTACAGCAGCTCTGAACCATTCTCTGTCCTCAGCCAATCTCACTAATTCTGACACACCAATCCCCATCACCCCAGTTACTGTATCAATCCATCTCATCTGGGGTCTCTCTCTCTTGCCCTTTCCATCGTCCCTTCCAAGCATGATGTCCTTCTCCAAGGACTGATCTCTCCTGGCCACATGCCCAAAGTTAGTGAGATGGAGCTTCAAAATCCCAGCCTCCAAGGAGAAACTTGATTTCATCCTCTCCAAGACAGACCTGTTTGTTTTCTTGGCAGTCCATGGTGTGTTCAAGACTCATTAATTTCTTTGCCATGTTTTTCTTACATAGTTAAAGAGAAAGAGCAATTGTACCTTATACTTAAATATCACCTCCAAGACTCTTGTGAGAACAGTTTTAGGAGAGCATCTTTGTTAGCATAACTTTCTTTTGCATTATTTCATGTAGAAGGAGTTCTGTGAGCTCCAATTTACCAAACTTCACTGCTAATCCTTGATGGAAACTTGAATTTTCTATAAATATTATTTATAAGAAAAACTTAAGAAGAGATGAGCCTGAGTGTGTACCTAGTCCGTGTCGGTGGCTCGACAAGGTGCGTGTGCATTCTAGGCTCCTTCTTCCTTCCCACTATCATAAAACTCCTGGTCTCTAACTCGAAGCCTGGAGCTTTTCCTTCATCCCCCTCGCTTCATCTCAGCCTAAATCACCAACCTCACTTCTCACACTGTCATCATTAGCCTTGAAGGGGTGTAGGACAGAAACGTTTATTTTGTGGGTAGAGGAATGTACAACATAAAGCGTGTCTGTAGGGAGTTGTGCTGCAGACTGAAAAGTGATGCTTTGTAGGGGTTCAAATCTACCAGTGGCTCTTCAGGAGAGAGATGAGAAAACTCCTCTCATGTGATTTACAGCCTCAAAAACCCCCTGGAGTGTCAGCTAAGAGTCAGTTCCAACTTGAGGGTAATGGGTTTCAATTTCGGTGAAGACTCCTATAAAAAAAATATTTCATCATAAGCAACAAAGCGCTGGGTTTCGCTACTGAACTCTAGCCCATTCCTGGTACAGATTTCACAGTTAATTCTTGAGACCTGTTTTGTCACTGGTTCCCACTCAGATCCTAAGATCTGATTTGGTCCTGGGGAGGCAATGTACACATGCACACTGCTATCCTAAAAATGAGTAACGTCTGTTGCACAGCAGGTCTGTAGAACTGTCTTCTCCCCTTCTTTGACGTCTCCCTTCTGTCTACACAGCGTCCTTTCATTGGTGATTTTCAAAGCCTTCCCATTCTGTATTACAGCACGGATCTCCCCACTCAATAACTTAGTTAGCTTTTCTCTTAGAAGCTTTTTCTTTTTGTGAACCAGAAACCATTCTTTGCATTGTCATCAAGACCTTCTCTTTCAGAATGGTCTTTGGGCAACAAAGAGTCAGTACAGACAGACTGACAGAGTCTCCCTGGCCCACAACATGGGGACCATCTAGTCCTTTAATAAGCCGACCTCAAAGGAAAAAACTTAATGAATATTTTGTGAATGAGTCCTGGCCATAACACAATCAATACCTTCTCTAACTTAATCTTCCAGATTCCAGTCTTCTCATCTTATACCTTAACGAATAAGTATCAGTAATAAAAAAGACATGGGAAAACTTCAGATGTTTAACTCTTTGGTGGTCTTTTCTTCTTAGACATTCTCTAGTCTGTATGCCAGCTACATTACTTACTGCTTTCAGCCGTTGCCGTTTTCCATCATTAAGGCTTACAAGTCTTTGTATAGCATTCCATGTCCTACAGCCTACATCTCAAGGATACGTTTAATATATAAGGAATGTAAGCAGTGGCCTGTTCCTTATTTACACCCTGACCACAGTTCTGGATGATTAGAACCAAGCAAGAAGACTGTCACAGTCTCTATAGACAGGAGATATTTTTCACTGGGAAATTATTTAACATGTGTTTAGTTTATAATTTAAAAAAAATTGATGATTTGAACCCATCACAGCAGCTTTGTGGGAGAAGAACCTGACAAGCTGCTTCGGTAAAGATTAGAAAATCACAAAGGGTCCCTGTGAGTCAGGCATTGCTCCCAGCACCTAACAGCAACATTGCTCCTTTGGAACATGTAACAGTGGTTACAGAATGCTAGTAGAACAAGGGGTACTATTGCTTAATCCTTTGCCTTCCCAGAGGGCCTCTTGCCCAGATTTCCCAGCATCCTACCCTTACATGCAGAGGGGACTCATCCAATGCTGCAGATGAATTACTGCTGGGTATTTGTTGCATGTAAAGCTGGTGCTTTAGGCATATAATATAGAATCCTCTTCATTCTCTTTGCATTAGAATTTTGGAGTCCTGAGCTGGGCTTCAGATTGCTCAAGCAGAAGCACTTGTGATGAGAATTCTAACTAGACGGTTGTTACTCAGTGTAACTCTCCTTTTTTCACGTTCCTACAGACAGCACCATTCCACTGGGCAGCATGGCAATTAACAGCATCTCAAGGCTGACTCAGCTCAACCAGTCCTCCATGTACTCACTTCCGAATGCGCCAACGCTTGCAGACTTGGAGGATGACACAGAGGAAGGTACTTTAGAGGAACTTGTGCTTTGAGTTGTAGTTCATCCTGTTCCCTGTATATAATGTTGAAAACCATGGGAAGATATATTAGTATATTCTCCCAAACCAAAACTCATCTCAGTCATATCTTCTTCAGACCCTGGGAATAAAGTAAAGAATAGCCCTTGTCAAGCAAGGAAATTTTCATAAAGAAAGTGCAAAGATTTGTACCTTTGCTTTGTTCCCAGCACCTAGTTCAGTACCCGGACTATAATAGACACTTAACGAATACTTGGTGAATAAGTGAATGTTACAGCTCAAACGTCACTCAACACGCCATTGTCAAGTCTTCAGAGAATATGGCAGTCTAAATAGAGTTCCCTTCATCTCCTTTTTTTACTAAAGAGTTTTACACTAATTCTAAGGGAAATGGTTCATAAGTCAGATGACTGTTAAAACCCTTGAGCAGCTGAGTATAAATGAGTCCTTCTGTCAAAACTGTGCTTACTGTGTAAAGCGGAGACTTGATTCCAACAGGACTTTAGTCTTAGAACAGTCTTAGAACAGGAATGCTGTAGCTTAGAGAGCCTTGAGAAAGCTGACATTGTCTCTCTCCGGCTTGCTGGTATAATTTTCATCCTAATGGCTGAGGAATGTGGACTATGCCTCAAGACTTTCATTCACGGTTACAGGCAAGAAAAAAAGAAGAGTCAAAGAACAAAAATGTGTCTTGTGGAAGAATCTATCCCTTTCATATCAAGAAAAGAATAGTTTTCTAAGACCCATCTCCCAGTAGACATTTGCTTACATTCCCCTGGCAAACGGGATAGCTGCAGAGAAGGCATTTTATAGTTCACTGGATAGCACTGTCTCCTCAGACCAAACGAGGATTGGCTTCCACACTGAGGCTTCGGAATATCCAAAACTGAAATATCCTAAATTGCTGATGCAAGGGGGTTTGTTTGGTTTTTCTCCTCCTCAACTAGGCAAGCAATTGGAGAATAGCAGTAGATGAGTCTCAGAGGAATGCTGGGAAAGGGATTAGATTAGTCTTGGGAAGCACCTATCAGTCAGAGATCTGTGGGAACCTCCGAGGGTGGGGGAAAGTCTCATTGGCCTCATACACTTTTACTGGCTTTCTCTAACCCCTCGAAGGTAAAGAAGTTACCGAGCAGATAAGCAGAGTCTTCCTTGCCCTTGAATCTGGAAGAGTACAAACAGTCTAGGTAACAGAATTCAAGAGACCTCAACAAAGGACTGAGCTAAGGGTAGGTGTCATATTGTTCTACTTCCCATGGAGATAAGGTTCCCATGGAACCTTTTTAGAAGAAATAGACCTAAATCTTCACTTAAAGATAATATGATTATATATTTATGAAACCCAAAGAAATTAACAAATTATGAAAAGAAAGTAAAACTCATTCTTAAATGATAAACAAACTTGAAAATAAGATTTAATGGCATATCTGTGTGTCTAGGACCATATGAGATCAAGAAAAACATAAACGTATTACCTTCCAAGAATGGGAAATCAAATAGAACTTATATGCATTTACATAGAATCCTACATATCTGTGAATATATGTATAAGTAAATAAGCAAATACACTTGATATGGAATATCTAATCTCTGGTGGTAAGCTACACTGGAATCTCAAAGGCCTGCAGTTCAGAACTACCAGCTGCTCCGCAGGAGAAGGTTGTGTGCTCCATTCCCTTCCTCTGAAAACCCGCTGGAGGGTCAGCTGTGAGTTGTTTCTGACTCAGCAGCACACAGCAACAACAACAATTTCTCTTAGGTTTGTAAACTGCTCCCACCTATTACTACATAATAGCTGTAATGAAGAAAGGAAAAGGGTTTTGCTGCTTACATTTCTATAAATGTATCTTCTGTAACTCCATAGCATTTGATTTCCACATAGATCTCACCAGCTTAGCACTTTATATAACATTGTAATGAAATATTCTAAATGTACGTATTAGGACCAAATAGATTCTTTTTAAAAAAAAAAACAAACAAACAAACCATGGAACACTGTAAATGAGGGGAAAACAATTACCTGGTGGGAAAGAAGTATCAACATCAGATCATTCAGATGACTCTGGTCTTTATGTAATCGCACCTCCAAAACGCTTGGTTTGTGCTCCACACGCCTCCTTCCCTTTGCACTGTCAGTTGCTGATGGGGGAGTTCAGGCTGGAGACCTACTCTATGGCTGAAAATCAGGCTTTAGGAGTTTAGGATTGACTTGACCAGCATTTGGAAATCGTATGTAAGAAACACGCCCGAGGTAAGGCCTTTCCCCCTCTTTTTTCATCCTAGCAAAGCTGAATGAATAAATACGTGTTTGCCATGGGTTTCTTTGAATATTACCATTCACTTCTGGATTTGCAGCCAGTGGGGACCAGCCCGCAAAGCCTCACTTCGACTCTCGCAGTGTGATATTTGAACTGGACTCTTGCAATGGAAATGGGAAGGTTTGCCTTGTCTACAAGAATGGAAAACCAGGTAAAAGTCATCTACAAATAGTAGTTCTACAAATGGCTTGGGCTGCCTCTGCTTGCCAGCCATCCCAAAAAGACTCACTCCTCTGTGGCCACAGGTAGCAAGACCCAGGAAACCTCTGGTCCTCTCTGAGAAACCCCCTCTAAGCCCGTGTCCAGACTCTTTTCCACTATCCTTTGTGGAGCGCTTGTGGCCTAGTGGTAAGAAACTGCACTGCAATCCCGAAAGTATGTGCTTTGAACCACCCATTGCTCCTTGGGAGAAAGATGGGCAATCTCCTCCTATGCTGTTTACTGCCTCTGAAAACCCACTGGAGGGTCAGCTATCAGTCAGTTCTGAGTCAATGATACTCAATAACAATGATACTCAATAAACTCAATAATTCAAATAACTCAATAACATACTTTCTGAGTTACTGTAAACAACCTACGAGATTAAGAAAGTACGTAAATGAAAATGAAACTAAGTAGTCATTCTACTTAGAGTCCTCCAGCAGACTCATACCTGTGTCAAGCATCTAGGAAGTACACATTATCTTTGTCCTGTGCTCTGTGGTATTGTTTAAGTACCATCCTGTCAGAACCAACTCATCGCTAACCCTTCAGTGGGTTTTCAGAGGCTTTAAATCATGAGGGAAGAGATGGACAACACAATTCCTCATCACTAGGTCACCAGAGCTCCCTTCTGTCCTCTACTCATAGGCTAATTAATAACAGTAAAAACTTCAATTACTTGATCTCATTCTGAGAAGCCCAAAATAGGAAATCAAGAGAAAACATCTGGCCACTGGAGCACCTATTCTGTTCTATTCCCTAGCTGAGCTGCGAGACTGTAGAATTCTAGATCTGGCCCCCTTTAAGAATTCCCTGTCCGGTAAGGGTGAGCAGATAGAGATGCCGTAGAGTCTGTCAGATGATGTACAGTCTATCAGTGCCATAGGAATGGTGTATCTTGCTCTGCATGGGTAGGAGAGATCATTTCCAGCTGTAAGAATCTTAGCAAAGTAGCTTCCAGCTGTACCTTGAAGTATGAGAAGGAGATAAGAGGGATTTGGTGGTGGGTAAGGAAGCATCCAAGCAAAGTGATAAATGGATAAAAACTATACCATGGAAATGTCTCTTGATTCAGGGAGGGGCCATTTCAGTTCAGTGGGCCACATGGTTCGTTTTGTGCATGAAGAGATAAAACCAGAAAATCAGCTTTCTTTTTGTCAGGAGTAGTTTTGAAATTCAGGCAAATGAGTTTCGACCCAGTATTAATTAGTTTTTGATGTTATGTGCTGTCAAGTTGACTCCGACTCATAGCGACTCTATGCACAGTAGAACCCTGCTCTATCCTGAGCCAGTCTCACTCTCTGACACACCTGCCCTCATTACCCATTTACTGTGTGTCAGTCCATCTATCCAGGGTCTTCCTCTCCTGCGCTGTCCCTTGACGCTTAAGAGGACAAAAAAAAAACACCCAAACCACCAAACAAATGAGTTCTGGTGGCCCAGTGGTAAGAAGCTAGCTATATTGCAATCCCAAAGGCATGAAGTTTGAATCCACCAGCTGCTCCATGGGAGAAAGATGGGTAGTCTCCTCCTGCAGGATTAACTTCCTCTGAAAACTCAACCAGAGGGTCAGCCATGGGTCAGTTCTAATAGGAAGGCACACGGCAACACCACCACCATGGAAGTCAAAGAGAGTCAGTTAAGGTTGTTTCAAAGAAGAATGGCAAGATTGTAATGAAAATGTCTGTGAACACAAGCAGTATTAAAGGAAGAGCCAGGAAGGTGGCCGTCACTGAGGGAGCTATTCCTTTTAGACACAGATGAACTAGGTAGAATCAGAAACCTGAGCAGGCAGGAGCAGGAGCTGGACCTCCCCTGGTTAGAGACTGGATCCTGCAGGAGCAGGAGCTGAACCTCCCCTAGTTAGAGACTGGATCTAGCAGGAGCAGGAGCTGGACCTCCCCTGGTTAGAGACTGGATCTAGCAGGAGCAGGAGCTGGACCTCCCCTAGTTAGAGACTGGATCCCGCAGGAGCAGGAGCTGGACCTCCCCTAGTTAGAGACTGGATCCTGCAGGAGCAGGAGCTGGACCTCCCCTAGTTAGAGACTGGATCTAGCAGGAGCAGGAGCTGGACCTCCCCTAGTTAGAGACTGGATCCCGCAGGAGCAGGAGCTGGACCTCCCCTGGTTAGAGACTGGATCTAGCAGGAGCAGGAGCTGGACCTCCCCTAGTTAGAGACTGGATCCTGCAGGAGCAGGAGCTGGACCTCCCCTGGTTAGAGACTGGATCCTGCAGGAGCAGGAGCTGGACCTCCCCTGGTTAGAGACTGGATCCCCAGGAGCAGGAGCTGGACCTTCCCTAGTTAGAGACTGGATCCCCAGGAGCAGGCATCACAGGACCAGCTCCTGCGGGATCCAGTCTCTAACCAGGGGAGGTCGTTCCGCAGCAGAGAGTGGGCTGTGCTGGGCGCCTCCACGGTGGTCTCTCACAGCACTGCTGACTGATTCTCGGGAGACTGCCTCCGAAAAGCTGGAGCCATCCGGAATGCAGAGGCCACACTCTGCACAGATGGAGGGAGGAGGGCGCTGATGCCCCACAGCAGGAGCATCTGCTTAGAGAACTTGCATGGACTTGCTTGTGGGCAAAGCCCAGCAGAGAGCGCAGTCAACTGAGTAGTTGCTGGTGAATTTGTAGAATGTCCTAGAAATGAGTAAGAGTGGCCACTGGAGAATGTCACGAGGAGAATACAAAGAAAAGGACTTGTGCTATCCTGTCATATTCTCTCACTATTGGACATTTTAAAATCATGAGTACATAAACTGTATTAAAGGAGGGTAAGTGTTAGGCTGCCCTTAATCATTCTTTCCCTTGTTCTTTCAGGATTAGCGCAGGACACAGAGATCTGGTTCCTGGATCGGGCGTTATACTGGCATTTTCTCACAGATACTTTCACGGCCTATTACCGCCTGCTCATCACCCACCTGGGCCTGCCCCAGTGGCAGTACGCCTTCACCAGCTATGGCATCAGCCCCCAAGCCAAGGTAAGGGACGCTCTCCATTTTAAATTGTGTTATGTATCAGGAATATGAAGAAGCAGGTAAATTATAGATTCCCAGGACCATTTGATTTGGGAGCCTTTGAAGGTGGAGTTTGTTAAGTGGCGGGTTTCTAACCTAAAGGTTAACAGTTTGAACCCACCAACTGTGCTGTGAGAGAGAGAATACAGCTTCCTCTCAATAAGATTAATAGCTTCAAAAACTCTTTTTCAGTATGTCTTTCTAACTCTTAACTAATGTCTGTGAGAGTAAAAGGCCTAGTATTTTAGTCACCCCAATAGGATGGAGCTTGTGTTTGAATACACAGAATCATGCTTAGGGTCACCAGGAGTCAGAACCCACAAATCTGTGGCTTTTGGGAAGGTAGAATCCTGAACCTGCGTTTTTCAATAGTATAGCCGATTCCAGTGTAAGTGGACACCTTTACCACGTACAGATCTGGTTAGGCAGTTTCCAAGCAGCTGATTCTCAGCAGCACCTAGGGAGGACTTTTAAATTAACCTTTTCTTTGGGGTGGGGCTAATTGTCAGCACATGTGCACAAAAAGGCAACTCTCTTCTCTCCCTGTTCGTACCTGCTGGTGTACCTTCCCGAGGCAGCTACTGTTCGTATTTCTTCCATGCTTGCACAGAGACAGCGTGGCTTGCTTATTTTTTTAATCAACATGTTATTCCCATTATTCAACTTCGTGTTATTTCTCCTCCATACTGTATCTTGAAGTTCATTCTCAGCATAAATGCTCCCCAAGTTCTGAGTGGTGGTAACACTCACCTGGTTGACATGGTAGGGCTTTGTGATCATGGACGTCAGGACATGTAGATGTCTTTTGCACTCAGCTATCCAGAAAACCAATGTGCCACTCAGCACCCACCCAGGCAGATGGCCCCCTGTGTGGGCTTATTCCTGGTGGGGACTGGCTTAGCTGAGGACAGCACGATTAAAGGGACACTGTCTGGTGGTTTAATGGTAACTTCTCGGGCTGCTAACCAGCATGTGAGCAGTTTGAATCCACCAGCTGCTCCTCAGGAGAAAGATGGGCTGTCTCCTCTTGTAAAGATTTAGAGCCTCTGGAACCTGATGGAGGTGTCCTGTGAGGCAGAAGCAGCTCAACAGCAGTGTGTTTGGGATCTCACCGTAGAGGAGCTTGTCTCTTCTCGTCTTGTCTCGTCTCGTCTCGTCTCGTCTCGTCTTGTCTCGTCTCTCAGTGGATTAAGTATTTGGTCACTAGCCAAAAGGTGGCAGGTCAAACCCTACAAACCCACCACAGGGAAGAATGAGACAAGTCTGCTTCTGTAAAGATCTGCGGCCTTCAAAATCTGAGGGGGGCAGTTTTACTCTGTCCTGCAGGGTTGTTGAAGAGCTCTGGTGGCCTGGTGTTAAGAAATTGTGTTGCAATCCCAAAGGCATATGGTTTGATTCCACCAGCTGCTCCCCAGGAGAAAGGACAGTCTCCTCCCATGTGATTTACAGCTTTCAAAAATCCTCTGGAGGGTGAGCTATAGATCAGTTCTGGCTTGATAGCACACAGTAACAACAACATATAACAATAGTTACATAAACAATAGTTTTGCTTTGATTTCACAGTGATTTGAGAGGTACCCTCCCAGGTTCAGTGTTCAGTAGATCAGAAGTAGGAGAATTTAGTCAGCTCCTTAGTTCTCCAGCTGCATTTATTTTAAGATTTTTGGAGCCTCAGAAAGCAACATGTGTTTCTTGCTAGGGTCTGATAGATCTGTCATCACTTTCATGTATGGAAAGTTCTAATAGATTTGCAAAGCAGTTTTTCATAAAAAAAATCTCTCTCCTCTCTCTCCCCTCTCTCAGCCACATCTCCTCAGTTCACTATCCCCTCTTTCCCATCTCTGCTCTTCTTTTTTTTCTTTTCCAAACACTAAAGAACATAAAAAGTGGCATTTCTCCTTTGATTCATAACCTTCTCTCCCAATTCTGCCTTACAGCAATGGTTCAACATGTATAAACCCATCACCTACAACACAAACCTGCTCACAGAAGAAGCCGACTCCTTTGTGAACAAGCTGGATCCCAGTAAAGTGTTCAAGAGCAAGAACAAAGTCTTAACCCCCAAAAAGAAAGGGCCTGTACAACCTGCAGGCAGCCAGAAAGGGCCCCCAGGCTCCTCCACTTCTAAACCCACCTCTGGCTCTGGGAACCCTGTCCGGAAATGAGTCCTCCAGTCCCTGCCAGCCCAGCCACACCAGGGATCACCCTGCACAGATGACCCTGAGCGTGGCCCGAGCCTCTGATTCTGTGTGCTGAACCACAGCTTTTATCCCATCACAGTGACTAAAATCCTGGGCCTTTTACTCTCCTTGACATTGGCTGAGGGGAAGGAGGACTGAAATCTCTTCAAGAGTCTTTCCCTCGTGCTCTTTGAAGTAGGTGGTACCGTCTCATCTCCGAAAGGAGTGGAAAATTTTTCGTTTCAATTGGGTTGCCACATAGACCTGTTGACAACTTTCCTCTCTTTCTGTGCCCTCCCCACTTCTCTCAGCAGTGATTAGAGAAATCCCCTGAAGAAACCACTGGTTCAGACCCATAGGTTTTAGAACTGCACAGTTCAATCAGAAGTCACTGGCCACATATTTTTAGCTATTAACTCCCTGGTTGTATTGTACTAGCCAAGTTGTAGTTGTGCTTATTGTACTAGCACTGATTGGCTTCTGGCTTCCATATTGGATAGCACAGGTAGACGGGCCAGCCCACAAATGCCCACTTACTTGACAGAGAAGCAATCTGAACTTACCTACTATGTCTTGCACAATTTCTATGGAGAAGGTTGCTCAGGTTTTTATATAGAAAAGACTGAACACATTCCTCACCCTGCATAGTGTTGGCATTGAGCAGAAACAGACCTTTATTCCACTTCCCAGCAGCCATTATTCCACTTCCGTGGTCTGGGGGTGGCAGCAGTTTTTGACTGGTGACTGTTGAGGTTGCAGAGTGAAGAGTTCAGAGAGAGGGGAGCAGAGGACATTAACACTTGCACATTTCAGTTCTACCTACCTGCCTCTCCTTTTCCTTATTTAACTACCATAGGGACTGGCCAGGTACTTCTTTGATACTATTACCTGCTAATTAGTGGAGGGCTTCTCTCTTCCATGACGCACTGCAGTACTAAGAGCAGGTCCCAAGATCCTGCACCTCAATTTCTGCAACCATTTGAGTACTTATTAAATTTTTATCTCTTCGTCTTTTTCATTGCTGATTGTAGCGATCATGTAAAGAGACTTGAATTCTTCCTCCACCTATACTTTCCACAGCTCCTGAGGGAAACCACGGTGAAGAGGCTGATGGTTAATGATGCGGGGTTCTGGAATGGGACCCTGCCACAGTGTTCAATACCACCAGTGGTTCCCCCCACCCCAGGTCAGGGAGTGAGGGGCACACAGACTTGGACTGGCTGCTTTCCCATTTTTTTTTTAAATATCTCCAAAGTTTGAAATACTCATTCCCTCTTCCTTTGAGACCATACCCTAAGCTTCATGTTTATTGCTTAATTTACTTTAAGATACACGTATATATCAACCATTATGAGTCCCTTTTATGGAAAACATTTGACTAAAATGGTAATACCTGTTTCTTTTGCAGTCCTATAGTGTACCATCCACAGTTCTGTCTGGTCTTTTAAACGTTTTGTTTTTGGGGTTTTTTTTAAGACCTTAACAGAACTATCTTCCCTTTGGAAGACATTTGGCCTTTTCAAATTTAATTATTTAAGCACTCACACATTGTGCATTTTAAAATGTGTAACAATTCATGTAGTAAAATTAACAAAAACAATAAATCAGAACCTTGGGCTGTCAGATCTTAAATATTTTTCACCTGAATCAGTCATTTAAATGTCCCAGTGAGTCTCTGTCCTTTTTGCATATTGGCATCACCTTGGGAGGAGGCAGTGGCTAACTTCCAGACCCACCTGGGGTCCAGGAATCATCACTTTTTAAAGGTCCTGAGGGACTGTAATTTGCAGCCAATGTGGAAAACCTCTGCATTGGAAGGGATGAGACTCTGGCAAAGAAGCAATGATTTCAGAGTTAAAAATTTAGCATCTAAATGGCAGCAGCATAAACCAGTATCAGATACTTGGCGGAATTTTAACGAAAAGGCTTTTGGAGTACAGTTTTAGCAATCACCTGGTTCTTCATCCTTTGAGTCACTTAACGTTTTTTTTAAAAAAAAAAAAATACAAAATTCTTCGGGTTTTATATTAAGTTTATCTCAAAATTTTATTTTGAAAATTTCCAAATCTACAGACACTGAAAAAAAATGTGCAATAAATACCTATAGTTTTTGCCCCAATGTATCACTTGATGCATTTTTACATATCCATACCTTCTCTATATTTGTCTATCTCTGCATACACATAAAATATGAACATATTCGTATTTTTGTTTGAGTCCTTTGAAGTTCCAGCTTTCATACTTCTTTACACTAAATACTTCAGTGTACCATGCTTAAGAAAAGGGATATTCTCTTATCACACTATAATATTATCTAAGAAAATGAATAGTAAATCAAATAATAAGTAGCCATTTTTGGATTTCCCCAAATATCCTCAAAAGTTTAATTTATAGCTGTCTTCTTTTTCACTCAGACTCTGGTCAAGATTTATGTATTACTTTTTGATGCATTTCTTTTGAACTGCAACTTCTCCTGTGTGGCATCCTATTCCCTACTTTGTTTGTATTTTGGGACATTGGCTATTTTGCAAAGTTCAGACTTGTTTCCTTATATTAAAATGGACATTCCAACAATGTGTTGGATTGTTCACCATATCCTTTTAATAAACTCTGTTTCCTTGGTACCCAAAATCAACTTCTGTTCCTTGCAAATCAGTTTTTTCTTATTGACTCAGTTATACTTTGATTCATCCTTCATTAACTTCTCCAGTGTGCCAGACACTGTGGAGGTGGGAGGAGGCAGCACTACCTGTGCAACCTCAGTCTTTTGTCAGAAGCTTCTTCCTTGCAACCAACCTGTTTGTGCAGTAAGAGAAGTCACATCAGCGTGGAATTAAGAATGTTAATTATTACGATGAATTTTGCTCTTCATTCCTATTTATGCAATTAGGATCCTAGATGCAAATACAAGTGCATTTAACTCATATGTTTAATCACCAAATTTGCACAATTTTTATTTCATGGGGTAGTACCATAGCATATGCATATGTATTTTGTATTTACTAGAACTGTGAAAACACTGAACAAAATTAGCTCAACTATTCTTTCACTTCCTGAGATGTGCATGTTTATCAACACTTTGCCTTCTGTTTATTGAGAAGTAAAGGACTGGTCATCCATATCTGAAGAAGAATGCGGCATCTAGATTGGAAGGAGACTCATTAACAACCTGCATTATGGAGATGACACAACCTTGTTTGCAGAAAGTAAGACTTAAAGCACTTTCTACAGCCTTCAACTTTTTACAGCCTTCAACATGGATTACATCTCATTAAGAAAACAAAAATCCTCACTGGACCAACAGGCAGCATCATGATAGATGATGAAACATTGACGTTGTCTATAATTTCATTTTACTTGAATCTACAAGCAATGCCCTTGGAATGAGCTGTCAAGAAATAAAAATGTTTTGCATTGGGAAACTCTTTTGTCAAGGACCTAGCCAAAGTTCTAAAGAGCAGTAATGTCAGTTTAAAGACTAAGGTGCACCTCATCCAAGCTCTGGTATTTTCAGTTGCTTCCTATGCATCTTAAAGTTGGGTGGTGAATAAGGAAGACCAAAGAAGGGCCAATGCCCTTGAACTATGGTGTTGGTGAATGCTAGTGACCCATACCAGGGATTTCCAAAAGAACAAACAATTCTGTCTTAAGGAAAGTGCAACCACAAGGCTTCCTAGAGGCAAGGATGGTGAAACTTCTTTCTTTGGCCATATTTTCAGGAGGTACCAGGCCTTACAGAGAGATAGCATGCTGGGAAAGGTAGAGGTCCAAGAAGTAGCGGAAGACCTTCAACAATATAGGTTGACGCCATGATGACCACAATGAGTTTGAGGTTGCCAGATCATGGTGATGGTGCAAGATAGGGCAAGGCTCAGGTCTGTTGTTCACTGGTTTCTGTGTGTTGCAGTCCACTTGACAGCAACCTAACAACAAAATGATACCAATCATGCTGAAGGGATGAGGCTTCTAATCAAACATATTTTGGTTTTTTTATACTTAAAAGGTGACACTTTTCTTGTTCCAGAGGTAAACTAGAAAAAGTTGTAGACCAGGTTTGAAGAGGTCCTTCGCTTTGGAGGCCTTGAATTGGTCAGGAGACTCTCCTGTTGGAAGTGCCTTTAGAGAGTCTCCCCCATTTCCAGCACTTCCGAGGCTCACACTCACAGGCTCTGGTAGGTGGTTGGATTTGTGTCATTTAACTCTGGCCCCTTGACTACAGTGGATTGGACACTGGATGAGTAACAATCCAAATTGGCTGAACTCTTGTCCCTCTGACCTGGTAATGAATTTCCTTCTTTGCTTTAGGCCAAAACATTGGATTCGGTTTTTGAGCCAAGAATTCTCTGATTAACATGTAAGCCTCCTGTACTGAGTTACTGTGGGATACAATGAGCTAATACACAGACAAGAACTTAGTCCCTTCCTTCATGATGTGACCCTAGCCTTTCTGTCTAGCATTTGATTTTCTCCTGGAGTGATCTGGTACTGATTTGCTAGCCCCCTTATAAAATAATAGCTGTTTCTCACTCCGTGTTTTTAAACCTGTGTTGTTGCCTTCAAGTTGAGCACGATTCATAGCGACCCTATGAACAAAAGGCCTGAAGCTTCTCTACAACTATCGACCTTTACCAAAGTTCATAGAGTTTCTGGAAGTTTAGGAAGTGGATGCCACTCCTGCTTTACACCTATAGTTTCCTCCTAACCTGATGACCGAATGTCTCTTCTCTACCTCCCAAGGTTCAGTCTGTCCCTACCTCAGAGCTGTCTACCTCAAGCCCTACCCCACTAGAGTTCTCTTCAAAGAGGAAATAAATGCTTATTGCCATTGCCACTCAATTAACATTGACCATTTATTTGCTTTGTTTCTTCTGTGTCTTCGATGAGTGCTGAGTCAAGAACTTCATGGTTACTGGAAAGAAAAATATTTATCCTCACAGTACTGGCAGATTTTCCACTCTGCAGCATGAGTATCATTGGGTTGAAGGTAAAGTGTTGGCAGAACCACATTTCTCTGACAGTCTTGGGGATAATCCATCCCTTATTTCTGTCAGCGTTTGGTAGCTGCCAATATTCCTAGGCCTATGACTGAGTCACTGTAATTTCTGACTCTGTGTTCATACCATCTTCTCTTTTTCTTTATGCCTATCTGTAAAGACATTTGTGGTTGGACTTAAGACTCATTTGGATGATACTACATGCTGCTTCTGCTGCTATTGTTGTTATGTGCCGTCGAGTCGCCTGTGACTCATAACAACCCTCTGTACAACAGCCCTAAACTCTGCTCTATCCTGTGCCAGTCACACTGCCTCTGACACACCCATCCCGATTACCCCAGTTACTGAATCAATCCACCTCATAGAGGGTCTTCCCTCTTGCACCATCCCTCCACCCTCTCAAGCATGATGTCCCTCTCCCTCCTTATAACATGTCCAAAATACTTGTTTAAGATGAAGCCCCAGAATCCTTGCCTCCAAGGAGCAGCATGGTTTAACCCTCTCCAGGATGAATCTATTGGTTTTCTTGGCAGTCCAGGGTACAATCAATACTCTTCTCCAGCACCACAGTTCAAAGGCATCAATTCTCCTTCTATACTTCCTGGTCATTGTCCAACTCTCTGATGCATAACAAGTGATTGTAAAGACCATGGCCTGTATCAGATGCACCTTAGTCTGCAGAGTGGCACCATTGTTCTTCAGTACTTTGGAGAAGTCCCTAACAGCAGACTTTCCCATTGCAATATGTTTTTTGATTTCCTGGCTACTGGTGCCCAGAGTGTTGGCTGTGGAGCCAAGCTGACTAAAGTTGTTAACAATCTTAGTCTCTTCACCATCCATCCTGATGCTGTCATTTGGTCCAGTGTTGAGAATCTTTGTCTTCTTGACATTGAGCCTCAATCCATACTGAAGGCTGCAGTCCTTGACCATCTGCAGCAAGCATTTCAGGTCCTCCTCAGTTTCATCAAGCAGGGTTGTCATCTGCATAATGCAGATAGTTAATAGATCTTCCACCAAAATCTTTCATTTAATGACACTTGCAAAGGTCCTTTTTCTTTAGAGTGACATTTATAGGCTCTAGGGATGGAAGCTTGCTATCTTTAAGTGGCTGTTAGCCAGCCTACTAAAGTGGTATCTGAAAATGTATTATCTCAAGGCCATGAGCACACACAAACACAGTGGATTTGGGAACTGGATGATGTGGAAGTCACCTGAAGGTGAAGAACCTACCACCCAGGTCTTCTGACTCTTAGCTCCTGTACTTTGTTGACGTGTAGACTTGAAAGGAGACAGAATGGGTTTTCAGTTGTCAATGAACCTATGTACCCTTCATCCAAAAATCCTTTGGCATATTAAAGTAAAAAGAAAAAGCAAACAAAAAACCAACTTATAAGGTTCCAAAGGAAACAAAACTCCTAGGAAGAGGGGTGTTGTCTTTGTTTACCTTGCTGGCCATTTTGTAAATTTGACCTGTATTTAGAAATAGGCAGGATGATGTCTTTGGTGATTACCAGAAAGAATAACAATATTACTTGTAAGTGGAAGATACTACTCACATTCTTGCTTCTCAGAGATCTTACAAAGAAATAAACTTTCTTGAATTAAAAAGTCCTAAAAGAGTGGCCAGAATGCATGGAAATAACGATAAAGGAAATAAACAAGAAAAATTTGAATTTTTTCACACACACACACACACACACAAATAGTAGGCAATTACATTTATTACTGAGGTGCAAGTTGATCCCTGTCTCTTAGTTCCCGACACCAGGATCTTCGAGTCCTTCTTGCTGGCTCCGTCTTGGAGAAAGGGCAACCAGAGTGCTCCTTAGAGGCAAGGATAGTGCAACTTCATCTCACATACTGTGGATATGTTTTAGGAGGGGCCGTCATGCTGGGAAAGGTGAAGAATCAGTGCAAGAGGAAAAGTCCTCAACAAGATGAACTGACACAGTGATTGTAACAATGGGCTCAAGTCTATCAGTGATTATGAGAATGGCACAGGATAGGGCTGCGTTCATAGGACCCCATTGTTCATAGGGTCGCTGTGAGCCATAATTGGACAGCACCTCACAACAACACCTCCTTCAGAACAGGGTAAAACAAAGGAAGCGAAGAACCCAGAACAAGAAGGTCTAGATCTATCCTGTAAGCTGCATTCACAGGGATATCCACTGGTACACTTGAACTGCTCCTTGACATCTGTAGACAACCTCAGAGTTCACTTCCATTAAGCTTGTTTGTCCTGCAAATGAGTAAGTATGCATATCTCTGGGCAGAGAAAAGACAAAGGAGATAGGGCTTGGCCTCTTACACTATCTCCCATGCTCTCTCCATATTTCTGGGGACAAACAGCTGGTTAGCAAGGGACTCAACTGTCTGTCCACTTGTATTTCAGAGCAAGGACTAGGCATGATGCCCAGAGCAGACATGTAGGAAGTCTTTGTTCAATTATAGACTGGTTGACCAAAAGCCAGTTCTCTCTTAAGGAATTATACTTGTGTTTTCTAAATTTGTAAAACCACTCTTTTCAGTCTTCAACTCCCACCTCCATGCCAGTAAAAAAGCACTCTATGTTTCAGGAGTTACTAAATTATCTTCAGGTTAAAATCACAGGGCCAGAGGTGTGAATGTAGAAGGTCAATTTAAATACTCAAAGGTTAGACCCTATTTCCGACAAAATAAATCACAATCTTTGACTGTGGGGCAGAGGCATCTGTATTCTTGAAGCCACACAGTTGAAGACCTGACAAGGGACCCCTGCTTTATCCTATTCACACATTATTGTGGGACCATCAAAGATGTTTCCTATAAAGGAGAACCTCTTTACCTAAGTGCAGACAAGAAATTGGGTAACCTGATTTACTACTTCTGACAATATTTTTAATCTTTCAAATATAATTAACACTAGATTCAGCTGCTTCTGCTTGAATCTGATTTGCTTTTTGGTTTGGTTTTGTTTTTTTCTAAAGCAGTAACTGTCAGCAGAACACCAGGGGCCCCAGTAAGAGCATCAGAGTATCGCTTCACTAAAAGAGTATGTCAGAAATCTTTCTTTTGTTTTCACATCACTATCCCATGATGTGCAGTGTTTTCATTCAGTGCCAAGGCTGCAAGCCAGTGTTCTCACAAAACATTAAACCATAAGGAAAATTATTAATAATAATCTATGTATTCCTTTAAATAAGGTGATAAACAAACTCCGTTGTCTGTAATATAGATCTAAGTCTTGCAGGTATCAGGCTGTCGTGGGCAGATCCATTGATCACAGGGTCTCTACAAGCCATCGAGCACATATTAATGATTAATGCTTGCTGGTAAGAGCTCCCTGTCTGTCTTTTAACCAATATTCTGAGTGAGGCAACAGAAGCAGGGAAATCTGGTCGTGAAGGTCTACGATGTGAATACATTATATTTGCCTTTTCAGGAAATGCAACGGAGTATTCTTTTTAAGTGACATATTCCCCAAGTCATGAATGCATAGAAGATCACGGGAACTGAGACAAAGGATAAAGTTAGTATTTGGTGATTTTCATCACTAAATACCTTCTGCAACAGTTTACCTTCCCTGTCTATGGATGCAAATGTTCTTCACGGGAACCTTGTGATTCTGATATCTGGGGCTTCTGTGGAGGGAGGGGTTCAGTCACCATTGGGCACAGCTCCTTCGGTCTCACTCTGCAGTTAATAAGAGGCCCCCCTAAACATTTTCCATTCTGGAGGACCCATGCTGGAGGGTCAAGTCCTAAATTTGTGACCGTGAAGTTTTCTGTGGACAGAGCTTAAAGTTTCCATTTTGTTTTGCTTACCTAGTAAATATCTGAGTGTGAGATTTTGTTTTCATATTTTTTTTAAAAAGTTATACAGGTCACTCTGGTGGCAAAGTGAGCAGGGTGCCCCGCTGCTCCATAAGAGAAAGGTAATCTCCTCCCGTGAGATTTACAGCTTCTGAAAACTCACTGGTGAGTCGGCTATAAATTGGTTCCAACTCAATGGCACCTAACAACAACAAACAACTCTAGTTTTTGGTTCCACATCACAATGGAGCAAAACAAACTACAGGGGTAAGGAAATAATAAGTCTTACAACAAAGAATGATACCAAATTAATTCAGGAGTTAAAAACAGCACTTTTTTTAGTGCTATGCACCTTATTAAGAAAAACAAAGCCCACAGGACTTAAAGGTCATTGTGGGGAAATCTCCTTTTGAAATGAAGAGATTTTGCTGCTTTGCAAAGAGCCAAAATTTTGGAGTTGTTTAGGTCCTGTACATACTTCCAAGAATAAAAAGTTTCTGGTTATGACATTAAACTCTATTTATTTAGTATTTGAAACACGGTGTACATTTATGAATTTGTATAAACATTTAGTACAACTAAAATCCACAACTGGTAAACAAGCTGTATGCTGTCTTTTGTACATAATTTTGGAGTTTCCAGCTGGCTATTTTGGTTTGTTGGAGACGCAGGCTGTGATGCAGGTCAAGTTGCCTCACGTTACTGTCGTAACTCCACAGACGGCCTTGCTCCTTCAAAAGGGATGTTCCTTGCACAGAAGAGGTGTCACTCTTTGGAACTATTAAGCCAGTCTCAAGGGAACAAGAAAAACACTGCTGATACAATGAAGGTTATGTGACAGAGATGCCTAATGACCCACACCAATGCACATTGGACAAAACAAGCCGTATGGTGACACCGCAGAACGAGCATTCCTTTCCAGAACTGTCTGATATAATGTACAGTCTCCCTCTACCCCCACTGGAGGGGTTCTATCCACACTCCGGGGACATACTTCTCAGGGCACCCCACGGGTCACAGCTGCAGCTCCGAGGTGCCCACCAGGCCCAAGGCTCTGGCTTCTTCAGGGGTGAGGCCACTCTTCAGGGTCCTTCGTACTGCAGTGGTACATGGTCAAAGGAATGAGAAGAGAACAACAAATTAGTAAGAAGGCGTATGGCAGTTGGTACACCAACCCCAACTCTCCACAGACTCCCAGGGAAGCTACAGGGCTCAGAGAGGCGCTGCACCACCTTGCTCTTGGTGAAGAGCCCGGATGGACAAGCTCAGACAGAGGCTGTTTATCTGCCAATGAGGGGAGAGGGGGAAATCTTCAAATGGCATTAGGCTGGCCTGAATATGTCTTGGAGATCTAAGAGACGGGAAGTCTGTACTGGGTGAAGAAAGCTGACAGATACGTATTTGCCCTTCTGTTTTTTTCTATCCTAATCTTTCTCTGAACTGCCTAAATTTGGAGTATCACTATGAGGGATGTTTTAATTGCAATGAATATATTACTGTTATATGCCATCAAGTTGCCTGCAACTCATAGCGCCCCTATGTACAACAGCTCTTAACTCTGCTCTATCTTGGGCCACTCCACCTGTAAAGGATTTATAAAAACTTGGTGCAGACTCCATCTGACCAGTAGAAGGAATCAATCAGAGCTGGAAAAGTTATTACAGAACTTAAGAAATAAAATAATGATGAAAATTGGGTAAGGCAGCTAGTGTGATGTTGTTGTTGAGTGGGAACCAACTTACAGATGACCCCCCAGTGTGATTTCAGAGGCTGTAAATCACACAGGAAGGGACTGCCCATCTCTCTCTCTCATGGAGAAGCTGGTAGACTCTAACCACAAGCCTTTGGGTTGGCAGCACAACTCCTTACCATTAAGCCACCAGCGCTCTATAGTGTACAGTAGAGGGTTAATAGGATTCTGTAAATCTTATTAGCAGGGTGGTTACTGATGCTAGAGACATAGACCCAGGAAGGTGTTAGAAGAACCCAGAACAAAGGGAAACACTCAGTTCTCTTTTAAGTGTTGTGTGTCTTAGTCTGAATACACTTAAGGGCCTCCAGAGAGGAGTCTTTTAAAGAACCAGTGACTCCTTGCTGGTGAGATGTCAAGAAGCAAATTGCTTATGGAGATGGGTAGATCTCTGCAAAACACACAAGGCTCAAGCAGGTCAATGACCATCTTCACTAGGGGTTACAACTGACAGAGGGAGAAACTCATGTTTCACTAACTCAGGATCAGCTTATGTTGATGGTTTTCCCTATTGTTTGATGATGCTCAATTTCAATGTCAAAATAAAGGATGGGGAAAAGGGAAGTTATCCCTTTCAAAACAAGTGCTTTCATTGGAAAAGTCACTTAATTACCTAGTTCTTAGTTTGCTAATTGTATTAAGCAGGCTCCATATTTACCACCCCCCATATTTCTTTAAATGTGATACACAGGCCACCTAGGTAAAGTAAGGGACCACCTATGTAAAATGTGGGTATTAAACAACCACTCACTAATTGCCTTCAAATCAGAACCTACTCATAGCTGATCCTCCAGAGGACTTTTGCAGGCTCTAAATCACAAGGGAAGAGATTTCACATCTTTCTCCAACATATCCACAGGCGGGTTGGAACTTCAAGAGGCACCACCTTTGGATGGACAAGGCAATTCTCTCAAGACTATGCTATCAGAGATCTTTTATCTACATTGTTGCTGATGTTATGTACCATTGAGTAAGAACTGACCCATCGCTGACCCTCCAGTGGGTTTTCAGAGGCAGTTGAATTGCAAGGGAGGAGATGGCTGGACCATCTTTCTTCCACAGAGCAGCTGGTGGATTTGAACTGTGTGTCTTTGGGACTGTGGCAGAGTTTCTCACCACTAACCATCAGAGCTCCACATATACATAATTATAACAATGGTATGCCCTAACACTTATGCTTAATACCATAAAGTATATTCATGTGCTCAATGTATCAAATCTAAAATTAAGTCAGGATAGACTCAAGGTCATATTTTGATTCTGTGGAGTTGTTTTCATTTCTTTCAGCTTCAGTTTGAGCCTGCATATGAGTCATTGATAGTCTGTTATACAGTCAGCACTTAGCCTGTTTTGACTGCCAATGTTGAACTTATCCACTGTCTCTTTTCACAGTTGTAGGCAATCTGATTTCTGTGCAGTCTATCAGGAGAGTTTCATGTGTATGATCCCAGTTTATGGTGTGTGTGTGTTTGTTTGGTTTGGTTCTTTTTTTAAAGTATTTACAGTGAATAAATACTTAATTGTACAGAATTTAAGAAAGAAAATAAGGTCATACAGAATTTAGGATGTCTGCTCTATTTTCATATGATGTGCTATGGATCTACCATTCAGCCTAAATCCTAAATCAGACAGAGTCTGATATGAAAGGCCCCAGGACAGAGTGGGGTGGAGGTGGGGAGAGACATTCAGACTTAGTGTCTTCCCATCATCCCTTACTAGACCCAGCTCAGCTTCATGCCCTCTGTGAGCAGGGCCGTGTGTCTTCTGAGATTTACAAAGAGTCCAAGGCCCCATGTTGAATGTCTCTACAGATGAAAACAAGTCCCCTTAGCCCACAAAGGATCTAAATGATCTATGATTATGGTAGAATCAACAGCTATGAATACCTAGCAACAAACAGCTTCTTTTCTTCTAATGATCAGGAGTCTGAAAAGAGTCAACATCTGATGTATCAATAAGTCAATCAAGAAATCAGGTGCAAAGAATTTACTGTGAGCTCAGCAGTTAACTGAGAGAATCAAGGTCTTATATAGGATTCATAGACATCAAGCATGGCTTTGTATAGACACAAGGGTCTGTGGGAAGGATTGCCCTCCACTCAAG